GTTTTCACTTTGCTCAAATTAGTTTTGACTGGTCCCCGGGTTCCCAAGGTGATAATTTAACACCTCATTAACAAGTGCATTATTGGAGGAAATTCAAATGAACCGATTTTAATGCTAACTGAATGTTTTGAACCTCGGCCTGCACAAGCAGTATTTATTTCCCCTTTCGAGTACAACCAGCAGCCACTGCTTCCATTTGTGGATCTATTGCTAACAATGGCAAGGTGCAAACTTCATTTATAAATATACTATAAGCTACTTAAAATTCAATTCCAAGTAATGTAACATGGGCTATTCCTTCACTACTGCTTACGCTTTATACTTGCGTATCCTTCTGGCTTGATTTTGGAAAGAAAAGGGGAATTTTACAAAATGTCCAACTGGAGGAAACCTACTGATCAGGCAGTTGACCGAACTAACTCAGGTCGTATCTTCACTTGAGGGGCTGATTAACCATATGGAGGTTAAAACACTAATTGCAGTCTTCTCTCCCCTCGAATATAAGGAGACTAGGCTTAGTTTTGTTTCCTGCATGCTTCTCCTTGAGCATATAAAGAGTGTAGCAACGGTGCTGTCTTCTCAACAGCTCAGTCAGGCTCAGTTTTCTGGCAACACACCCATACATTCTTATTCCCTTTGGCTATAATTGGTTTACCTACCTTTTCTGACTTAACTCACTCAAGTTTGTTGCACACAGCAGTGGCATGACTAGAAATCCTTTTTTTTAAGGTTTCCTCTGACTAGATGTAATCAACTACTGTCTCTTCACAACCGACACACTCAGATGAGGCACATACCAATCAAATTACGTGCACCTAACCGATTAGCCTTCAAAGGTTAGTTATTCATTCTGATAGTTTAGCAGCTGGGTTGGCCTATGCAACTGCTACCTCCATTCTCCATTGCTTGTGACATTAGAGCTATGTAGGGTAACAATCCTTGGTTTCTGTACAGTGCTCAAGACAACGTTCATTCAAAACTTAAATGCCATCTTGGGCAACGTCTACTGACAACTGATTCTACGCATGCTCTTTATGGTGCTGTGACTGGGTGCATGATATTTGCCTCCAGAAACTGAGATGGAAGACAGTAAATTTGTTATAAATGTCAACATGTCAATAATAGTAATCACTGAGTTAATGTCCATGGAAGGAAACAGTTCACCTCTTTTACTAGTCATTAACACTGCCAGCTTTAGTTCAAACTTAAAACACGCCTGGATTTAAGGCCCACCTTCAGTCTTTAATACACATGAGAGTGAATGAAGTTTTATCTCCGAAGGAGGTTAACCAGTTCCTAGACTGGTTTCACCTTGCATGTTTTGATTTGCCCCATCTCAGTCAGGTTATTTTATGATTTTCTCCCACTTGCCCCCAGCGATGTTATCAGGGCAACAAATAGGCTGGGTGCTGAACACTAACAGTGCTAACAGAACTCCAGCTGCACACGATATCACCAGATCTTAAGTAAATGGCAGAAATGAGTCAACTGGATTCCCAGTCCGAGTGAGATTGTAATGGCAAAAAATTCAGCTTTCAACTAAAACGGAACCATTGATGCTGAAAAACGAGACAGGTTAAGTAGTTAATATCATAAATCCCAACAATGTCTCATTTACCAGGACAAGCACCAAACTGCCTCATTTTCCCTACGGTCAATTTAAGTAACCCAAACACCACATTAACAGCAAGAATCAAGTGGCTGTATGATACCATCTTCTAGAACTCCATTCCAGGAATCAATTTGTCATCTTTGCGTATACTATGACCCCAAAAAGTCTGCTTATTGTGCCTTTTTATTATTATTGTTTAAAAAAGCGCCCCTTTATCTACAGAACTATCTGAAGTTCATTCATCTTTGTGGCTGAACAAAGCAGCATCCACTGAACTGCTGACAAGCATCTGCAATATTTGCTCATTAACAATTTCAACCATAGTGACTTTAAATTGGAAAACCAGCTCCCAAAATACGCTTTTGTGGAAATAAGCCTTCTTCATTTCTCCTGCTCACCTTGCTCTACTATATATCAAAGTCAAATGTGATGACACGCAAGATACCGCTGTGTCTTGTCACTGGAGTTTTCTGAAGACATTTTATGTGCCAAAGACATCCACCACTCTTGAGGATGCCTGTTCATTTTGGGATTGCTTTGAGCATTTCTCCAATCAAGTATGCTTTGTTTAAGATCACATTATGCCCTTCTAGCCAACTACGTGCAAGAAAAGTAATGCAAAGTAAAATAGGACAAACATACAGCACTAAGCTAATAACGTAGAGGAGTTTCAGAAGCAGTACTGGAAGCACCACTACCAAGAACCATAACACGACTCTGCCATCGCTTTGGCTGTTGGAGTGTTTCTTGCAGTCTGGATGAAGGAGCAAGTAATATACTTGTATTTATATATAATTACATTCCTGTAACTGTCTTCAGAGACATGGAGGTTTGCTAGTCACTTACTGCATAAACAGTACAGAGAATTAACAGATTAGTTTGAACAGAAATCAAGACACAAGAAACTACTTTCCCAATTCAAGCACCACATTTGCATGCCATCCGTCTTACTTTCTCTATAAGCAGCTATTCAGCTTTTCATAGCATCTGTATTTTGTCTGTGCTGCCTCCTACTAATATCCTATTTAGTCACTGGCAGCTTGCTAGAAAGATCTGAAAGGAGATATTTACTTTTTTTAGTTATATTGTAGGTTTAGAGCCTCCAGATGTTTCATTAGATTTAGAAATAACCTGGGAGAGAATCAACTCATTCTTGCAAAATAACACACAAAAAACCCTTTCATCCTCAAAAACTAATTGCTTCCTACTACTTATTCCTCAGCTACAGACCACCTCAATCTGACATTGCAATTTCCACCAATGTTTGATGCCATGGAGAACAGCAGTTTTTACAAATAGCGTGTGGTGAACAGAAGCAGGCAGACAAAGAAGCCACAAAGGCTCTTTTCAAGAAAGCATTCTTGAAGCCATTAAAAGATTTAGCTGTGGTCTGAAGAACAGAGTTGGGAGCTAGCTGTCTACTCTTCTGATTCCAGCTCCAACTCTTGTGCCCTTGTAAAACCATCGCCCTATCTCAGTTGTCCTTCATCCATGAGATAAGCTTGACTGATTTAAAAGCAGTGAAGTTTTTGTAACACACGGTCGATTCAAAGATGCTTACCAGTGACCCAGTTCAACACTAGTTCTCTCCCCAGCACCACTCCATGTTTACTCTTAATCAAACCAACTGCAGGCAGTTGTCCTCCAGAGCCCCACCCATAATTCCACAGAATCCAAACAGAAGTTTTTCAGCCAAAGGCCTTAAACAAGGAAAAAACTTTGTCATGCTATCACTAAGCAGCTGCTCAACTCACTCAATTGAACTTTTGCCAACTTCATCCACAGAAAATGCCTACAAAGTAATATTATCTCTAAAGCCTTAAGGCAATTAAAAAAACTGCATGACTGCGAAACAGCTCTGTGCAGAAAATGACCTGAGAATCACTTTCATGCAGGGATCATCCTGCAAGGTGCTTATCCTAGCTGAAGGCTGACTTAGATGCTAAGAAACCCAGGAACACTTTCATGAGACCTGTAGCTGAGAAATCATTTCTCTGGCTACCCAGCACTTCCAAAGAGCACTACAGTTTGTATTGAAATCAGACGTACAGAGGCTTCTTTGAAATGACCCAGATCTCAAACACCAAAACCACTTTGCTCAACAGAAAGAGTGGCTAGGAGTTCTGGTACTGCTTCGCACCAAATTAGCGGGATGTAGCCTGACAAGCATTTTAAGCAACACGACAACCAAAAAGGCCTTTTGATTTTTTTTTTTTTTTAACCGAATTGGTTCCTGATCTGGTTCACCTTTCAGCTCTGATGGATCTTGCTGGCATAAAAGCAAGAGAACAGTCTGGAGTGGAAGTTGCTTCCATTCTCCTGGCTTGAACGAATATCACACTGTAACCTCAGAAAGGGGCAAAAATGCCGTAGTCTGAAAACTGCAAACAGAAATCAGTTACACATTCCTTGCTTCCCACTTCATTAAGCAAAACAGATACTGGAAGAAACCCAAAACAAGCAACGCCCGAGCAGACCACAGACTGTTGGCACATCATCAGCTAGAAAGAGCTCAAAACAGTCACTTTTAAGACGACAGCAAGACCCAGCCCTTTTGCACAACTTCTCATGTAGTTTGAAGCTTGGTTACTATCTGTTCTCGAGAGCAGCACTGGGGACAACTCTTGGCTGGTACAGGTATCTCACCTGGACCACTTGGAAAAGCTCAGTGCTAGCACAGATAGAGGCTGTTGCCTGGCTGTACTTGGCTCAGCGATGGCTTCTCCACTGAGCAACCAGCAACAGCAATTGCTGGTGCTTAACTGTTTTCACAGAATGTAAGCAAAACGAACAAAACCTGCTCTAACAGAAAAACGTTGAAGTTACTTCTCCAGCGTGCTTTTCCGCTGTAGGAGATACCACTCAGGGTAGTTGGCCAGATGACGCATGTTCAAAGCAAATACGGTTCCTCAGCGTACACCACCACCTCGTGGCCAGACGCCTGAAACTCCCGTAACTCAATATATACTGCAGTTTGAATATTAAGAGCCTCTGAACTGAATGCCACTGGCAGATCCTCAAACTACACTGTCGTCTTGTGTGAGTTGCTCACAACTTTTTAATAATCTGTGAAGAGGGAAAAATATTCTATGTGCAAAGTGCCACACCATTTCAGTTCCAAGGCAGCTTACGCATCACAAGTGCAAGTTGTTTACTTCAAGCTGCTACCTACTGGGCAAATGAGACATGAGAATTGCGTTTCTGACTTTGAATGCATCAAAACTAGTACAGATTTCCCCTTCTTACTTTCATAATGAAAAAGGAAAACAAAGACAATAAAGATGAATATGCTGAATTTCTTCTCCTGGTGCATTAAGTCTACTGATATTATGATATCTGTCAGAGACATAAAGAGGCTGTTTGGCTTCTCCCTTCCACATGCTTACTGTTAGAAAGACTCACCAACAGTTGTACCGTCTTCACCCATAATGCACTTCATGGAGGTGATTATCTGCTCCACAACAGGAGGTGATAGTGACGTTGCATACACCGCACTGTGAGAGTATGTCCTGAGGTAATCAATCAGTTCCTAGCAAAACACAAGGGGCATCAAACACTGTCTTCCCAGCACTCAGAGATGCTTTACTGTCAGGTCTCAATCACACAATAAAACAGGACACAAGAATAATGCTCTTTCAGAATTTCCTGAAAGAGAACAGGTATCTCAAGAACTGGTTTTATGGTACAAGTAAAAGAGTTGAAAAGCAAAAAGCAGGCACATGGCAACCCATAATTATGTTACAGGGCAAGAATGGGTGTTTATCAAAGACAAAAGTCTACAAGTTTAGCTACCACCACCATCACTGGATTGCAACAATGTGTTTGTATTACTCAAGCTGTGCAAAGGCTTTGTCTCACAAGTGTTTATTATAACAGTGGGAATATAAAACAAATGAAATAGTGGGAGCAGGATCCACAGGTGCTTA